AGCTTTTTTTCTTAATAAGTGCTTGGTTTCATGCTTTTGCTCTTTGTTTTACCTTTTCTTTCATATTTTGTGGTTTTGTGCGTTTTGATGGTTTTTCTAGTGTTTTCTCCATTATTTGTTCTCTTTTCATGGTTGTAGGTATTGTACGAGGTTCGGGTCTTGATATGGATGGATTACTAAGATGGAAGATGCTTTTGGAGCAAGCTCATGGCAATAGGAAAGCTCAAGATGCAAGGAAGTGGATTCTCCAAGTTCTATCTCTTGCGCTTTCAAGCCATGCTCTCATGAAGATGAGGTGTTGAACCCATTGTCCAGTGTTTTTTGGGACTTCTGTGTCCATCATCATCATTCGTTCGGTGCGCTCATTCGAAGCCATTAGCGAACGCACGAACCCTCGAGAAGGATCGAAGAAACCCAGTGGAGCGCGGGCGCACACCCCAGCCGCGCGGGCACACAGCCAGCTGCGCTAGTGTGCCTTTATGGCCGCGCGAGCACGCCCCTCTAGGTACCTGCTTTGCTTGGTTTTGTTTCGCGCTTCCTATAAATATATACTTGTAACCCGATTTTTATAATTAAATTTAAATTGAATTTTGATCATTAATTTAGCTTAGTTGAGAGCTTCTCTCTCAAGTTTTAGGGTTTGTTTAGGAGTAGATTTTAGAGAGAGAAAGTGAGGATTTTCAATGGTGATTGAGAGATTGAAGATTCAATGGTGACAATTGTGTTGAAGATCTTCTCGATTATCAATAAGCATTTTGAACTCTATCTCATTTTATTGCTTTGTTTAATATTCTTGTTTGTTTAGATTTATTTTGATGTTTGATGCTTGATTAGTGTAGTTGTTCTTCATACATTGTTTATTCTTGATTTCCTTAGTTGTTAATTGATTAGATGGTGATGTTAGAGTAGTTGTTTGGCTAGGGAATGGGTGAAACTTGGATGATTGATTGTGCTTAATTTGGGGATTATGTTGATTAATTGTTGAGATTAAAGTGATTAATGGAAATTGTGCATGTGCGTAATTCGATTAGGCCTTGAGAATTATGCTAGATTGCATTGTGAGTTTACATTGACATGTACCATTGATTTGTAACTTACAAATATCGATTGAGTTTGATTAGGGACATTCCTAGTTAGTGTTTCTCGTAGTTGGCGCTAGTTAGACCTCTAGGAGATAACTTGTAGAGCTCTTTTGATTGCTCTTACCATTAGTGTTCTCAACCATTGATTTTCATGTTGTTCCCGAGTTGCTACAATTGTCATGATTACTTGTTAATCCCAATACCCTTGTGCTTTATTTGTTTGGTTTCTTTGTTTATTAGTTGTTAGTTTTCTCTCTTTATCTTTGTCTTCGACCTAGCTTAGGCGCATAATTGAGAGCGCTTGAACATTATCGTTCCTTTTTATTCGACACTTGACTTGCCTCTATACTTGTATTTCGGTTTGTTAAGTGTTTATAAATTTAGTTTGACCGATGGAGGATTAGTCAACAACCTAGTTTCACCCCTTGTCAAAAATAGCACCATTGTCGGGGAACGGTGTCTATGTTTGAGTGTTTTTATTGCTTGAGTCTACGTATTTGTATATACTTTTCTTTTATTTGATTCTTGTTTGTTTTGTGAAAAAAATCTCATGTCTATCATTTTCTCAATATGACAATGAGCCCTTTTGTGAATATATTTTAATAAACATGAGGGATTTGTTGATTATAATTGTTGTAATCTTTGGGAAGTTTGTGAGATTTGTTACTTTGTTTTGAATGAACAAACTAGGAATGAAGTTGAAAGCATGCATAATGATTAATTTAGAGCATTGTCGATGATGATGCTTGGAGTTTCTATGTTTAATTTGATTGGGATGTTTACAATAGGGGTAATCATGTTTCTAATGTTGATGTGCAATGTCTTGATTCTTCTAATATTAGCATGAAATCCCATAATTTGTCACATGATCCCATTAGTTAGCTTAGAACTAATGCTTTCAATTATCTTTACCCTTTTGTTCATGAAGATGAAGTGCATGCTCAAGTTGATGCTAATGGTGTGTTTCAATTTTCTTCATTATTTACCATGCCTTCTTGTGATGTAGTTCATTCCCTTAATAGAGAATCTCATATGCTTGATTGTGCTCCCTCTTCTCTATTTAATGAAAATGCTCATGATTTTAATGTTCATGATCCTATGTACCCTTGGTTGTGACTTTACTTTTACTATTGATCAACCTTCTTTGCCTTTTCATTCTCCAAACTCTTGTGATAGTCTCTAGTCCCCTATAGCCAAATTGATGGATCTTTAAGGGAGTTAGAGATAAATCCTAATCTTAGGCCCTTGGAGAGACAAATGATGGAAAATTAAGGAGCCAATGGGAGATGATTAGAAAGCGTGAGGATCTTTTTAATAAAGAATTGAAAAGAAAAGAAGAGTTGAAAAATGAATTATCATCTTTAATGCTTGTTTTTGAAAAATCCCTATCCAATGTGTGTGTTGAGGATGATGATGGTGATTTTGAGCAACCAAGAGAGAGTGAGGATCCTATTGGTGAGCATTTGAGTGATGGTGAAGGAGTTGAGAATGAAGAGAGTGTTAATTTCGAAAACCCAACCCTCCTTCCCATCTTGATGAGTCTCTATTGCATGATTGTGATTCCTTTATCCATGAGTATTTGGACTCATTTGAGGTTATGTCCCATAAGTTCTTTAAGAATCAAAAGAAAACCCATACCCTTTTGCATGAGTTCATTAAGGATACTTCATGGTTGAGAGATAAGTTTGAAATGCATTTGCATCTTTTCATGCATGGTTTTGAGACTTTAGGCTTTAAGGATGTTGAGGGAGTTGTTGTTCATGAATGTAGTGGAGGGGATTATGTAGTTCCTCTTAGAAATTGGGATGTTTGAGGGAGATGGAGATCATGTGTGTTCTTCATTTGAGGACTCTATGATTGATTTTTATGCCCTCATTGGCGATGTGAGACCTTGTGGTGAGGGAATAGCTACCCCTTTTCCCTTTTCTCATACCCCTTTTCAAGGAGATTCAACCATATCCCTTACATTCCTATGTCCCTCCCTTCTTTTGTCCATAAGCCTATTGGGGCCCCCTTGTCTATGATTATTTATATGTGCCTCATTTGGCCCCTATTGAAGAAAAGGGTGCTGTTGCGACCTAAAAACATTTTGAGGAGAGTTTGCCTTCTTCTTCTTCTTCTTCTTTTTTCTTTTCTTATTTTGTTGAATTTTCTGTTGATTCTTCTTCTTTCTCTTGGCATCTCTATTCTCATAGGTATGCACTAAGCTTGGTGCATGCCTTCTTTTTGTCATGTGCACACTTACTTTCTTAGGAAATGTGTAGTAGTGCATTTGACAAGCTCTTGCGTGCGTTGAATTATTATTTTCTAGAGCGGTCAAGCTTGGACCTTAAGCAAGCCTTTCTCGTAACCTGTGTTTTATTGCTTTCATTTTCTTTTCTTTTTAGAATAGATTTTCTCTCATGGAAATATGTGTATGTCTTTTGCTAGGTACATGACTTGATGATATACTTTGGTACATTGGTTTGAATGAAGAATCAAGGAAGATTGACTCCTATTTTGCTAGCATATGGAAAGCAAGATTCAATTCTAAGGGAAAGTGATTTTGAAAGGTTTAATTGGGTCATTTACGGGTATTAACACCCACCTAACATCCGGTAATATCTTTCCTTGTTCTTTGTCTAATGGTTGATGCCTTGTTGGACATGTGTTGGTATTATTGGATTGATCTCTTTCACTACCACAAAATATTGAATAAGCAACACACGATACGCAACTGTCAAGTTACATAGGCGATCTCTAGAATTACACCGAGCGCCTATGTAAGATAAGCGTTTTATATAAGGAACCTATAGAGCGCTTGTCAAAGTTAACCACTCTATTTGATGTGTCGAAATTTTACTCTTTACTTATAGATCACCCTTCATAGTTAAGCGGTCTCTAAGTATTATTTTTTAAAAAAAAAATAAAATAAATTCGAATAGCCCAACAAATTGAAGCCCATATCATATACCTTATGTTTGATACCCACCTAACCCTAATATTTAAATATGGAGTACCGCCCCTTTTATGTTTGATACTCCTTACCCTATGTTTGATACCCACCTAACCCCAAATTTTCTCTCATGTTTCTCTAGAGAAGTTTAGATCTTCTTTTGGTTTTCTTTCTAATCTCCTCTTCCTCTCCTCAACTGCGCAACACCACCGTCAAAACGGCTTCTCATGCCATCTTTCCACCAACTCGCAAGCTACTCATGGCCACAACCGATCTACCTTCTCACGCACCAGGATCCACGACATCAACCTTCTCACATCAACCATTCATAAACCAGCCACCACCGAGCCATGAAATTTTGACCATCCAACAACGAGCCACCATGGAAACCTCCGCCGTCGCAAGCCAAAACACATTTTTTTTTTGCTTTTAATTGAAATTTCTAATTATAACTAATTTGTTGGCACACATGTAAGTTAAGGTTATATTTTTTTAGATAATTGTATGATTGAGATTTTTTAGATGTTTTTAGTATTACTTAGATCTAAATCTTGAAAATTTTTAATTTATAATTTTTGTTATTACTTAGATCTGAATTTACTTTTTGTTATTTTTGATATAGTTGTTTATGTTAATTTTAGGATGGTGTGGCAGTTTTTTGTGGGTATTTCAGGTGGTATGGGTGCTGTGGATGGCAGTTTTTTGCTGGTATTTTGGTGGTGTGGGTCGCAGTGGGGCTAATGGGTGGTGGTGGGGGAAATAGTTATGGGTTTGGGTCGTGGGTGGGGGCAGTGGCGGAGCCAGGATTTTCAACTTGGGGGGACAAAATGCTTAACTTACGAAAAGCTTAACAAAAAATAAAAACAAAAAAAAAAACTCACACAAATTGGTTAATACTTAATATTAAAATTTCAAAATACAAATATATACTTAGTCATACAATTCAAAATGATGAAAAAAATTACATAAACATTACATTAAAATTACAAGTTCATTCTTCGAGTCTTCATACTTTGAAATCGATCAATAATCTTTTCGTCGGAAACTCGTAAGAAGACATCCTTCTCAATAAAAGTGACCAAACAATCATTCATAAGTTGATCACCCATGCTATTTCGCAACTTGTTTTTGACACATGTCATTGCAGAAAACACTCTTTCAACACTTGCCGTGGCAACGGGAAGAATCAACATCAACTTGATAAGCAAATGAATAAGAGGAAAAGTCTTATGCTTATTGGTTTTAACAAGCATCATAGAAAGAGAATTAAGGTCATTTAAACCTTGAAATCTTTCATCATTTAGCATATTCTCCATGAATACATCAAGTTGATATTCAAGAGCCATCAAATCAAAGCTTGAAAATTCTTCGGGATAAAAAGAGGCAAGTTTAAGTACCATATCTTTATCAAAGGATGAGAAGTTATCTTTAGGACTTAAACAAGCCATACATAATAGTAACTCCATATTCCTCTCATTAAATCGTTCATCAAGTTCTTGAAGATGCAAATCAATTAGTCTTAAGAAAATTCCAACCCGAAAATGATGTTCATTTGTTGCTTCTTCAACAAAACGTCTTGATCTTCCATGAGGAACATAAAGAGAATCCATAGTGGGAATAACAACACCATGTTTAGTGCAAAATGAAGTTACCTTGTTTAAGAGAGTATCCCATCCTCGCTCCCTCATTTTTTGCAACACCGTTTTTGTATAAGTGACAAGTTCCATGGCATTTACAATATCTTGCTCCTTTCTTTGCAAAGCAACACACAAATCATTAGTGTATCCAAAAATAGTCAACATCAAGTGAGCAACAAAAATAAAGTCAAATGACTCTAAATGTCCTAAAACAATTTGAGCTTTGAACTTATCTTCCGATGCACCATGCTTCCCAATTTGTACAAGCACCTTAATAATTGTAGGAAATAAGAGGATGGCATTTAAAAGTGACTTGTAATGAGAACTCCAACGAGTATCCCCGGGCCTACTCAAACCAAGTTCTTGATTTAAACCCGATCCACTCACAATATCCCCAACATCCAAGGCTCGAGCAACTTCTTGAGCTTGATCTTGACGAATCATTTCTCTTCTCTTGCAAGAAACTCCAACCACATTCAACAAATTTCCAAGTATCTCGAAAAGCCAACCACAACTATCATTCTTTTTAGCAACGGCAACTAATGTTAGTTGAAGTTGATGAGCAAAACAATGTATATAGTAGGCACTTGGAGTATCATTCATAATCAAAGTCTTAAGGCCATTTATTTCACCCTTCATGTTGCTAGCTCCATCATACCCTTGCCCTCTTATCATAGATGGGCTCAATGAATGTTCAACAAGTAAAGACATGATTGCATCTTTAAGAGTTAAAGCGGTAGTATTAGCAACATGAACAATGCCTAAAAATCGCTCCATTACCTTTCCACTATCTCTATCAACAAAACGCAAAACAAGAGCTAGTTGTTCTTTTTGGGACACATCACTTGACTCATCGGCCAATATAGCAAAGTAATCATCACCAACTTCTTCTATTATGCACCTAGTTGTTTCTTTGGCACAACAGTTAATAATGTCCTTTTGAATAGGAGGGGAAGTCATTTGACAATTTTTAGGTGCATTTTCAAGAGTATGTATCCTTACTTCCTCAACCTTTTCTCCTAACCACTTCAAAATCTCAAGGAAATTACCCCTATTATATGACTCCCCACTTTCATCATGTCCACGAAATGCCAAACCTTGCCCCAAAAGAAATCTTAAACAAGATAAAGATGCTTTCAAGCGGATAAAATATTCACTTTTAATCACATCACTTGCATTGTCAATCACATTCAAGATTGATTTCTTTTTTTCATCTCTTAAATTCACATATTTCTCATAAGCAAGATTATGAGCACTTTTAATTCCACCAACATGCTTCTCAAATCTTTCCGGTTTATTCCATGCCCTAAACCCTCCATCAACAAATGCATCACCCCCCGGTTTAATACCAACTTCATTCTTGAACAAGTAACATACAAAACAAAATGCAGCATCTTTTTCAATACTATATTCAAGCCAATCCCATTTGTTGAACCAATGAACACTAAAGCGACGCAAACCAGACACTTGTCTTGTAGGGAAGTCATGAGTTTTTGGTTGGCAAGGTTTTTTAAGAATATAACCCCTCCTAACAGCATTTCGTTCATTTGCGGGGTAATCCATAATGTTTATTCTTTTTCCCGGATCATGAGGAAGAAGTTCAACATCATACACCAAATCTTCCTCTAATGGTACATTACTATTACTTGAACCACCCATTTCCATACTATTTTCTTGACTTTGAGGGGAGCTAACTGAAGGTGAGTTATTGGACTCATTTTCATTGAGTCTCGTTCTTTTAAACAAGAATTGTTGAAGATCGGGTTGTTTAGTTGCCTTGGATTTGTTTGAATTTGGTGAATCTTTTGATATTTCCTAGTTAAATTGAAAATTATATATCAATTTCCACAAGACCACAATTCACATCATTACATAATAACAAAACCTAAGATTTTAAATTTCTAATTCAACTACACATTTCAATAATTTACAATAATTAATAATTTAAATTCACATTTCACAAAAACAGCCAAACACTCAAACAGGGGAAACATTCAAACAATCAAACAAATATAAATCAATAATCAATACCCACAAGGCCACAAATGACAAATTCACAATAAAAATATAAATTATAAAACAATTAAACATTTAAACAAGTAATGAAATTCACTTAATTCAGATTTACATAATTACATAATCAATTAATCATACCTCCATTGAAATTCAGATTTACTCCTTACAGTAAATCTGTAAATGCGAAGTTGCCGACTTGCGAACTGCTGCTGCAAACACTTTACACTTGAACACCAAACGTCCAAACTGCTGGCTGTGCTGCGGTGGCGCGGTGCTGGGCTGCTGCTGCAAACAACAAACACGAACTCACGAAGACACGATTCACACGAATTGAAGGCTGTCCGCTGTGCGCTGTCGTCTGTCGAACCTCGTCATTGGCCTCACTGCTGCGAACTGCCGGAGAACGGTGGACAGCGTCAGGCGACTCTGGCGAGGTGAGGGCGAATCGAAGAGAGAGAAATTAAAAATTGAAAGACTTAGGGTTTAGCTGCAAATGTCGCACAGAGCACTCTGTAATTGCGTTTTTTTGTTTCTTTTTAAATTTTTTTTTTAATTTTTTTTTTTGAAAATGGGGGGACAAGTGTCCCCACTCGTCCCCTTCTAGCTCCGCCCCTGGGTGGGGGGATTGTGGGTGGATTTGTACATTGATAATTACAAGTATAATAATTTTTATTCGTAAATTTTCTTTCTTAATTTATTACGTAAATTACAAGTATAATAAGTTGTATTTGTAATAAACTAATCTTTGTAAGTATTAGTTTATTACGTACAATTACAAATAATTACAATTATTATTATTATTATTATTATTATTATTTTATTATTATTATTATTAAATATATTTAATAATAATTTTTTTACAAAAAAAATAAGGAATGGAGAGCGCCAATCTATGATATAGGCGTCCTCTTTTTACATACCTATACAACACCTTTCCTAAGATGACAGCTCTCTTTTCCTTGCTTTTTATTCACTTTGCACCTTGTATATGAAGTTTCAATCTTAGATAGGTGATTATATTGTATTATATATAGAACGCCTCAAAGAGGCGTTCTGTAAACTTTATAAGGCACCCCCTCAGAAGAACGGCTCTAAGGCATTCTATATTGCTTGTTTTAGGTGTTCTGTATTCATGTTTTTATGGTAGTGTTTGTTTTCCCCACCTGTGGATTATTTGATTTGTATTTGAGAATGTTGTCTCATTCAAACTTGTGGGAGGGTATTCTATTATGTGTTGATGGGATTTTGATTCATATATGCCATGCACATTTGTATATGCATTTCCATGTTCTTTATTTTTAAAAAACTTCACAAATATTTTTGTTTCTATCAAGGTAAATTTGCTATATGTTTCCTTTTGTTCTTGCTTTGGACATAATACTTTTGGACTTGTATAGTTGAATGTTTTTCTTCTTAAATGGTAACGGTGCGCATGGTTTTAGAGTATCTTTGGTTCATTCTAGGATAGAGTATTCTAAGGTAGTCCTTTAGAACTTTTGGGACCTTGAAGCCGGATTCTATTATTTTTGAATTTATTTTCAATTGCTTCCCTTTGATTAATTTGAAGCTTATAGCGAGTTTTTGCCACAACGTTGTGAGGTTTCATGCTCATCTAGCCGTCTCCATATCTTTTTTGAGCGGCGCATGGATCTTTGACTAGTATATGTGTTAGGAAATAAGGGTGTAATTGTGTTTGATTAATGCGGAACAAATCAATGAGAATTAAGAAAAGTAATAAAGAAGATACACAAAGAACACAAGGATTTACGTGGTTCGGTCAAAATAGACCTACATCCACGGGTGGGGGATTCGAGAACTTGTAGACACCTAAAAATGTCTCCCCAAAACAAAACCCAATGATGAATAATCTTTCACCACTATTATTGGTTGGGGTCAGTATTTAATCCCGAGAGTGCTTAAAACTCATATTTAATTAGATTCAGTTTTTAAATAGTCCATGGATTAATCTTGATGTTTAGTCAAAGCATGGTTCATTTTTAATTTTAGCCCAAACCTTTTTTATTATTTTGGTCCAAGGCTTATTATTTTATTATTTTGGCCAAATTAATAAATAATAAATTAGAAATGACCCGAAATTATCAATCGACACTTAAAAATGCTGAACAAAATTAGGGTAAAAATGAATTTAGACGGAAAAACGGATTACAGGTTCTCGCGTCACGGCAGTAAGCACCCTATCACGGGATCCAGTACTGTGCCACGGTGGGATCCTCCGTGACACGGTGCCTATGCTGTGACACGTGGCAATTCCGTGTCCTTTTCGAGTAAACCCATCACGCGTTTTATTCCCCGTACCCTAAATATTTCGAGCGTCACACTATTGTCCACCATGTCACGGTATTTCCCCCGTCTGACGGTGCCTGGCACAGTGCCACGGTGCTCTTTTCCGTGTCACGGTGCTATTTTTTAGGGTTTTTTTTTATCTTTTTAGGGTTCCGTGTGTTCCCTCTACTCAGTTTTTTCTTTAAATACCCCTTCATTTCTGATGTACGGGGAATCAATTAATTCTCTCTTTTTCTCTCTTATATGCTCTAGCCTAAACGCTAGCCTACCTTTTCTCTTTCAAAATTCCCACTTCAAGCACTCCAGGTAGTCCATACTTTACTCGTGGTTCTAGCCTTAAGCCAAGGCGTAAAAGGTAGAACTATTTGAGGGTTTTGCCCCAAATCAATTCTATTTAATTTAATTTAATTTAATTTATGTTTTAATATTTTTCCTTGAAGTTACTAACTCGTTTATTATTTTATAGTTGCAAGCAAACAGAATCAAAGTAAGAATTATGTTCCTTTTATTTCTATTATTTTTATAACAATTTTATATTCTTGGATTTATTTTTAAATTGCTTCCAATATTAATCTTTAATATATTATTATTATGATCACCATATTCATGTTTAAAAGGAATATGTAATTGAAAATCACACCTAATAAGATAATTTGGACAACCGGTTTAGGATTCTTTTAATCTTGTTATTAATTCAAGTGATCACAATATTTAAGAATAATGTGTTGCATTAATATTAAACCAATTTAGCTTAATAATAGTTTGGAGCAAATTGAATATTTTGTTTGTATGCCTTTGAGATCGCAGGAATGCTTTTCATAATAAGAATCGAGTAGAGGCCAATACGGGCGATTGTGACTCCATGACTCACTTCGTACCATCATCCCCGATCCTCCTTTCGTGGTTCCGAACCATATGGAGTTAGTAATCTCATGGATTATGAATGGGGTGTAACCTTCACAAGTCAATCGTTGTTGCCTATCGTTGTCCCTTATCGTGGTTGCCTTTTTATGATCCGTGAACAGTTTAAAAGTTCCTTAAAAACTTGTTGGCGGCTCCCTACTTTATTTTCCCTAATCGTACTATGTCAATCCCCACTTCCTATGAGTGTCAAGCATATTAACACATGATTTAACGTAGGCGCACTTCAAATGTCGCCTACAATTTGGCGACTCCGCTAAGGAGGATTCTTTGTTATTTATCGATTTGAGTGATCGGTATTTAATTAAGATGAGTGGATGAGACTTGAAAGATTCTTGAAAAATATTCCTGTGATTAATTTGGCATTTTTGCATAAGCTTAGACGTTTTAACGTCGCATTTAAGTCTGTCCCGTAAGAAAAGTTGAATAACTTGATTGTGTTCGAAGTAAAACAGGGCACCAGTCAGATTTTCTGACTGCCGTATCACGGGGCAGTACACCATCAGACGGTGTGCAACATCGTGCCACGGTGCTCTCTGCCGTGTCACGAAAGTTTTTTAAATCAGTCAGGTGGCTTATTTTCTCTTTTCACAGTCAACTTCCTTCGGTTTTTCTAAAAAAATGTGTGTGTTCTACATGCGTCTTAGCCTCGAGAGAGTTAAGCTCTATCAACCCAAAAACGCTATGGCAATAAAGGTTCATCCGAGTTATTTAATCCACCTAAACCATGGAGTCAAGTTCGATTTCATCACGAACTCGCGGAGCCGACCATGGTACCCTTTTGACACTCAAAGCTTGACCAATAGTTAAACATAGATCTTGACTTTAGGTTGCGAGCTCTTTTTACATCATCGTGACTAAATGCTACATGGTTTATTTGGTGCTAACCTACATATGTTTGCTCATTTTGTTTGACCTATGATCGAGGGTTTTTATCTCCACATAGTAATTAGTACGGACTTAAAATTGATTAGAACCTAGAAATTACTCAAATTTAGGCCTGGAATTGTGCACCGTGTCACGGCAGGTCTGCCGCGCCACGGTATGCAATGACGTGACACAGTGCTTTGTCCCGTCTAACGGTGCACTGTACCGTGTCACGACAGTCATCATTGTGACATGGTGCCCAGGAGGATTTTCCAGTCAGTCTATTTTGGTCTATGTGCATGCTTATGTGGTTCGTAAGTCTGGTTTGGTGTCCTGTCTAGCTATACGGTCATAACATGTGTCCACAACCTTCACTTAATCACTCACATGTTGTGTTAACACACTTTTCCGTTATTCGTGCACTATTTCATGACCGTACTTTCAAGTGGACTTGT